GTGCACACCTACTTTGATGCAAAAAGGAGGGTTAAGACTTCAACCATATGCTGTCTACTTTTTTTTTTTCGATTAGATCAAAAGAATTTGAAGATAAAAATTTGATTAACATTGAAATGATTATTATGATTTTTACACTTACAGAATTGGGTATCTCTGTGACCCCAAATGAAAGGAAGGAAAGCCAATCTCAACATAACATAAGGGTTAAAAGCACATATTAATATATATATATATTTTTGGCTTCAGAGGTCATTTAAACACCTGATTGATTGCTAATGAGTGCTGACATCACAACAAGAGTCATCATTATTCATGAGGTTCTGCCGTTACAAATATTGTCACTAATATTTACGTGTGATATAATGTAAATTTGGAAGTAAACACTAATTTGTATTAAAACCATTTTGAAAGCTAAGGGTTGACAAACATTTGCCGGGTAATGCAGCATATGTATATGCATATTGGGATTGTAGTAATCTCTCTAATAAGAGCTCTAAGTCACAGCTGCATAAGTAGAAGTATCAAGTTCTGTGTGTCCAGTGGCAACTGGCTATTTAAAATCCACTTGGAGTCATTATCCAGTCAATAGTCATTCATCACCATCTCTTTTTTTAATCTATGAGGCCAGTGATCGATATTCCTCCACTTATTCTGCTCTAATCAATTTCCCGTGATGTGGGCAGTCTGAAAGACAGGTAGGGGAAGGGCCCAGGGAGTTAAATTAATTGAATGGCGGTGGGCATTACCAGCAGCATTGATGAATGTTGCTACAAATGGCGACATGAATTTTGGTGTCACCTACACGCACACACAGAGGTTTCATAATGGCAGAATTAGAGTAAGATGAGGTTGGCCTCCCATCGTGAACTCTGAGAGGACGGACATTGGTTTGAGATTTAATCTGGACTAAAATTTTGGTCCAAATCCGAGTACAGACTGAGAATTTTTTGTCCGAGCCCCACCTGACCCAAGGCAGACAAAATTATGTCTGAACTCAGCCCAACGTGAACCACATCATCAGGTTCAGTAGAAGAGTACAACAGAATTTTGTGTGAACCTGAACCAAATAACATCATCAAGATTTTAGTCCAAAACTGACCTGAGCACAACCAACTTCTGTCCTGACCTGAGTCAAATTCTGACCCGAACCAGATCAGTTTTGATTCTAAAACTGGAACCTGAGGATAACAAAATCCTGTCTGAAACTGACTCGACTCAAACCACAACGTTATGTTTTGATTTCGAAACCGACCTGAGTACGATAAGATTTTGTCCGAAACTGACCCGACCCGAGCCGTATCGTCAGGAAGTGAGTCCAAAACTGACCTGTATACAACAAAATTCTGTCTGAACCAGACCCAACCCAAACCACAGCACATTTTGCAAACTGAAATGAGCACAAGAAAATTCAGTCTAAAACTGACTTGACTTGAACCACATCAAGTTTTGGGTCCAAACGAATTTATGTCCAGAACTGATCCACACCAGCCAATTATCATCCGAAGTGCTGAACAAAAACTGACAGATAACTCTGGTTATAATTTAAATTAATTAAAAATAAAGCAATATAAAATAACACTGTAATAAAATAATCCGCTATGCAAAATTAATAAATTTAATCATCAAGCAGTGCTTATGAACAGCATCCTGAACTTTTTAGTCTGAATAAATGTTACTATTCGTACTGCACTGTTATCATGCTTTGCAGTGCTGATATAGCAAGATATTAGGCTTTACTTGTTTAATCTTAAAAGGACATGTTACATGTAGTGTATTGACAATACAACATAAAACTGTTTGGCCAAACAAATGAAATGTACTTCACAAAAGGACTTTTATGAATAATTTTGCTGTTTATTTCTTGGAAATCCATTTTCTTATGAGTGCTGGATTTGTGGACCTTGGTGCTAAATTGTTGAACGTGGGTGGGTGACTCCAGCAGGCCGGATTAAAAACTGTGTTCATGAAAATATGGAGGAAGAACAGTAGGAGGGAACGCAGGGTAAAATCTGGTAAAATCTGTTAATAATGGGAGTTGGGCCAATCTGAACCCGACCCACACCCGACGCATATTTGGAAAATGATGTCTGAACCTGATGTAAGCACAGAAGGACAGATCTTTCAAGCTGTAGATTGAAAGGCTGGTGGAGACGGCTGGTTGGTTGTTTATCCATTAGAGGAATGATGGGCCCCTGCGAGTTCCGTCAGCACAGCTACTGTTACTCCTCTGACCTTAAATAAAGGCTTTTCCTCACCTTTCAGTGACAGCGCCGCTATTGTAGTTTGAAGAGGAGACAAGCTTGAAGTCTGAAGTGTCAATGTGAGTGTGAACGTACCACTGAGTCTGTGTGTGTTTGTGTGTGTGAATGTTTCCTTTCACACTCTTTCCTTTGTCTCTTTTTCTTTCAGTAAGTGAGTGTGTGGGTGTGGGTCTGTGTGTGTGTGTGTGTTTGATGGTTGTGGAGCTGAGGATGAAACAGAGCTGGCACATTTCCAGTCAGTCAGCACTGTTCACGTTCTCACGCACAGGTACGGGATTAAAGAACCGACATCAGAACAAACATCCATTACTCTGGTTGCTCCTTTCCCTTTTTCATGTAAATACAACAGTGACGGCGATATTAAATACACTGTAAAAATAGAAATGCTACAAAGAGCACTGGATCAAAAATCAGTACGTTGAGTGTAAGCCGTCAGACGCTCTGCTTCTGAAATGAAACTGCGGTTGTGGCAGTGGCTGGTGAAGTACAGACTGCACAGACTTGGCAAACCTAGACTTCACTCAGCTCAGATTCTAAAGTTCGCAGCCCAGGGGAATTCTTTCTAAGATTTCTTAAAAATTAAACAATTCTCGAGCTCCGCATAAGTGATGCAGCATGCTTTTACCAACTGAAAGTGCAGTTCCTCTATAAACCATTCTAGTACAGTGGTCCAGCCTCATACTGTCATTCTGGTGCCCTAATTATGTAGTGTCACTGATGCTAAGTTCCACTCTTGCACAGCACCCCTGCTGCTTTTTTGCTTGTGGTCATCTGCAACCTAGCTGATGAAATTGATGTTCCTAATGTTGTTTGTGAGTTAGACCATGCCTTCAACATAGTGGTAGTAAGAGGGAAAACTGAGTGAGGAAGGGGGGAGAACTCTGAGAACTTGGATGGAGTTCTGGGCAGCTTCTACCTGTAGCTACAAGGCCAGACGTCCCTCATAACTGTAGCAGGACTGATGTAGGACTGAGGAACAGGGAGGAGATGGGGTGGTGGTGGGGATTCCCTTTGTCATGGGAACGGAAGGTGAGGATGTGAATTTATAGGGCATTAGATTGGAAGAAGGAGGGGTTTCAGGCATGTTCCTCCCCATAAACTTCAGGTATAATTTAACTACATTAGTTGTTTCCATAGCTGTTATTTATGCAAGTTCCTCTATTCTAATGATTCACACAAAGGCTACTTGCATATTAATAGCTCCTCCTTGTGGAGTCTCTTCAGTCTGCAAAACTTGAAAGAGTGTGAGTTACATATAAAAGTAACACACCAAACTTGTTCTTATGAGCATTATTTTATAAATGGTATGCAATTAGAGTGGTAGACAAAGCAGCAGACACAATGAGACATGTCATCTAAAAGCATAAGCACAAGACCACCGGAAGGCAATCACAACCAGCCTGTTTAAAAAACACAACCTGTTGGACTTTCAACAGATAACACTAAATATACAAAATCTCCAATATATGATAAAGGAAGTCTAGCAAAATGACATCTCAATATATACAGGCCTTTAGTCACAGAGCTGAAATATCATAACAACCAAATGAGGTAATGTGAAAATACTGTAGCATACAGTTATGAAACCCCGGCCCCAGCTTCTACCTGTGTAAATAAGTTGAATAAACTGGCATTAATTTCGACCCTCCTGCCAGTTACACAGACATACAACCAAACAAAAACGGAAGGATTTAGTAGAAAAATAAGTAGTATTTCAATAATAAGCTTTTTTAATATGGTTATTTTTTGCTTGCGGTAAGCGGTTGGGCATTGCCTCAACGCCTATAATGGACAAACCTCTCCTGCTCCAGACTTTCTTCGTTGATTAGGAAGGAAGGGGCCATCTGCTGATTATGTTCAAAGCATTTTAATTTGATATTAATTTCATAGGGAAATTTTGGACAACAATATTAAATTTTGGACAATAATATTAAAATCACTTAAAGCTGGAGCTTTTGTGAAACAGGGTTTTTGTGCCCATATAAGAAAGCACCAGTGAAAAAAAATTGAACAGCAGAATATTTTACTGATCCATATAGCTATATTACTAAAATTTAGCCCTAAATCCCGTTGCCCTGCACCGGCATCGCTGGGATGTGCAATAGTTGCTGCAGACTTTGTAGTCCGATTTGGGAAAACACTCATAAAAAAGTGTATTTCTGTCTTCTGCTGTCAGTCAACCATTTTAATTTTAATGCCATATTATGTTGTATAAGCTGTAATCTACAGCATTTCCAATTCATTGTTAACCTACGTTTTGAATGCAAACAGCAGGGGGCGATCTGACCACTCTCCTTCCCTGTTTGCAAGCACAGCTGAGGACTGAGATCTGGGCCACCGAGACAGTGTGGCCACAATGTGAACAATCTGCTTTCTCTGCTCAAAACACTCATCTATTGATTCTCTGCTGATTACAGTTATTGGGCATGCATAGAGGCTTGCAGTAGTAAATGCACTTTGGATTGTGTTTTGTTACAAAACGTGTAAATTGGAAATCATTCCTCTTCACCAGTAAGCTGTATATGGAAAGCACTTACATACTCTGTGTTCTGTTTGAGTAGGATAATACACATTCAGCAAAATCTTTTGATCAATTATCCATTGCTGCACTTTTCTGTTTTAGTCTTGAAAAACATGTGCCATTCAAGCTTTCACAGCGCATAAAAGTCTTTACCCCTCACCTTATTCCAGTTATAGTACAATCCGACCTCTTTTTTTCTCTCTGTATCCCCTCAGGTGCATGGCGTGGAGAAACAGGTTAGCAAATCTCTGGATTACCTGGAGCTAGGCGCAACAAGGTCCATCATGAAGACCCTCCCGTACGGTGTAGCCGACGGAGGGGGTATAGAGGCACCAGGAGGAGTTAAACCAGACATACAGAAGTCCAGGATATACACGCCTATGGACCACTCACCCATGAAGCCCAAACCGCCCACCTACGGCTTCCATTACCCTTACGACTGGCCTAAAAACCAATCACATCACCTAGACCAGACGGGATACCGCTCCAAGCGCAAGCCTCCACTCAAAACTGCCATGAAGACCAAGAAGATCTTCGGCTGGGGAGACTTCTACTTCAACGTCAAGACCCTCAAGTTCAGCCTGTTGGTGACGGGGAAGATTGTGGACCATGTCAACGGCACGTTCACTGTCTACTTCCGCCACAACTCCTCCAGCCTGGGAAACGTCTCCGTCAGCATCGTGCCGCCATCCAAGGTGGTGGAGTTTGAGGTCCTTCAGCAGCAGCAGAGCTCCCTCCATCAGCCAGAAATCCATTTTCACCAGCCTCATCAGTCCACCATCGACCCCAAGGACATCAAGACCTTCAACTGTCGCGTGGAATACGAGAAGACCAACCGCTCCAAGAAGCCCAAACCCTGCCTGTATGACCCGTCTCAAACGTGCTTCACCGAGCACACCCAGTCCCATGCCGCCTGGCTCTGCGCCAAGCCCTTCAAAGTCATCTGCATCTTCATCTCCTTCTTCAGCATCGACTACAAGCTGGTGCAGAAGGTCTGCCCGGACTACAATTTTCAGAGTGAACAACCTTACTTTGGATGAGTAGTAGCATACTGAAGGAAGGAGAGGGTTGACCCAAGAATGGGATGTTGTCGTGTGTCGTGTGTCTCTTCCACGTTCTTGAGATTTCGTTGAAAGAATGTGGAACATGTAAGAAATGGTCAACACACTGGGCACTCCACCAAGACGCTTGGAAAAGGCTTTTGTTCTGAGTTTTATTTGTATATACTGTAAACAAAACCAAATCAGTTAAGCTATTAATATTTATTTATTGTTTTTTTGTTGACTTTTGTCTGTTTGACTGTTAGAAATAATTTTGGAAGAATGAAAGGGAACATGAGATTTTTGTATTATTCCTTTATATGACCCTGCACACTCTGAAGTCTCGTAGTATTAGGGTTGTATGTGAAGCTGATCACAGCACTGATTGTAACAGCATTGGAAACTGGAACTGCTGGCGGATTGTTGTGGTTCATACTCAAATACATTTCACATAATATTTTACTGTTTAGAAGCTGAAGTTCAGTAGCGAGCTGCACCCAGGCTTGTCATATTATCATGCTAGGCACCATTTTAGTTTTGCTACCATGTCAGTTTTGCAAAATGAAATGTCTCACGGGTGCGTAGTCTTTCTTCCCACCCCTGAACAGTTACGCATGTGATGAGAAACATTATACAGAAACTATTACAGTCTGCTGGGACTTAATGCAGCTTCCCAGGTACATTCAGAGTGTGCATTTTATTCATCTTCCCCTTTAGACACACAAATCTTTGTTTAAGGAGGTATTCTGGTGTCATCAGAACATTTGATAAATGTTCAATACAACATAAAGTACTGTGCCGTAGTCAGAGACACACCCTTCATTTAATTACCAGTCAAAATGGTCATTAAGTACAACATGAAAAAGCAACATTTCTGGGTATAAACGCACCCCACAAATGGCCGAAAGTGCTTTGTTCATGGACATTTACGGCTGCGTTTAACAGGTGTCATGGCTTCAGTTCACTGCCAAGCTTGCTCGCAAACTAACCAGGTTTTTCCACAGATATTTATGGACAACCAGGCACCACCACTCATCTTCTCATGCTGCAGCGCGCAGTTCTCTAATGCTCTTTCTCTTACTGCTTAAAACGCTTTCCTCCGCTTTATATACAACCAAAATACTAGTTCAGGTCAACCAATTAAAGTTATAATTAACTATAATAATGTCAAATAGTATCTCCAACTATAAATATATTGATTACATAGTATATAATTTACTGTTAATTAAAGTTCATATATCTAAGACATTCACATGGTTTAGTAACTAATAATAACAATAATAATAATAATAATAATAATAATAGCATAAAATGTTGTTTTAGAGCAGTTCTCTATTTTACCCAAAACCTTCATTTAATTTTTAAATCTATCTGAAACTAATATGTACAGCAATTACTAGGTTAAATTACTGATGCAACTGATTTGAAAAAAGGAAAACACACCAATTGCTAGAACTGGCATAAGGAAATTATTAAAAAATACTTAATATTTATATTTATATTAAATAATAACATAATATTTAGTGCAATAAGGAAACCTTCAAATGCCCATTAATAAACCACAAATAACCTTCATTATAAATGACCAGCTATTAATGTTACAATCTCATTTGAGGCAATTGCTAAATATATTCTCCTTTAATCTGTCAAAAAAAGAATAATACAGAAAATAAAAAACTCACACAGATACACAAACTAAAAATATCCACCTCAACCAGTCATTCATAAAGTGTCTTTTTAATTGTCCTTGCAGATCTGGAAGCTGAATTCTTTGGATACAACGGTCCGTATACTTAGAGTCTTTATCCAGCTGTTGCTGTAACCCCCTGCACAGCTGTGTGAGCTCACTACTATGAAATCCAAGAGGTTTCACTACATACACTGGAAGCCCATCCACATCATCTTCACCACATGCACTAGAACCCCCTTGCACATCTTCATCACTCTGAGGTTAGACCTGATTCTTTTCCACCGGCACTGCTGGTGGTCTTGGACTGCAGCCTGGGCTTCAAACAAAGAAGAAAAATGAATTGTAAAGAGTTATTTCTGAAACCCTAGTTTGTTCTGAAACCCTAAAAGCAAACTTTGTGACTGTATAAACGAACTATTCACTATTTACAGCATTTAACCCTCCGTCACAGTGTCAGTTTTAGGACTTTATATTCAGAGTTTCCAGTTCATTGAACTGACACTCGCTGGCCATTGTGTCAGCTGCAGCTAACAAGTAGGTGTGGACCTTGTAGGTTTACAGTTACTAACTGGAGCCCATGTGTTGGATCAGCCACCCCTCTACCTTGTTCATAAGTGGGGAGGGACCACCACAGGACCACTGCCCACAAAATATTCTCAGCACAGCAGTGACACTCCAACAGTAATGGCAATGCAATGAGTACAGTAGGAGCAGCAGCATTGCAGAGTGTTGAATCAGTTGTGCTGGATAAAGGAATGAACAAAACTGTATAAGTGTTTTGTCAGGACTGACTTTGGAAACCCTTGCTCTAGCACATCAGTGGTCATTTTCAGACCACAGAGCTGCTCTTGGCTGGATATTTTAGGGTGTAGACTGTCAAACTAGCAGTGAGACCAATGCGTGTAAAAGCTCCAGCAGTGCTGCTGTGTCTGAAACACTATATATATAACTATATAACACCACATCAGTGTCACTGCCAGGTTGAGAGGGGATCACCACCCAAAAACATTCAGACAAGAGAGGGTCTGTGGTAAGAAACTGACCACTGATAAAGGACTATAGAAAAGCTAAGATGAACTGATGAAAGACAGCATGGCTAACAAACTGCACATCAACAGAGGAGCTGTAGCATAACTGTTTAAAAGCAAGGTGTTTCTAGTAAAGTGGCTGGTGAATGTACATTACTAGCGACTTGCATAATGGCCTTCATGGGCGGGTAGCACAAAACAAGTGTTTAACCAGAAAAAACCATTTCAGAGACCTGGTAGAGTTTCAGGTAGCACCACTTGTAAAATCTGAGGTAATTTAAAATGAAACACAAACCTGAAGACATACTACTACAATTACTACAATTCAAACAGGAACAGGACAAAGTTATTCATTTTTCAGCAAATAGTAAATAACACAAAAATCTCAACAACCAAATATATCACATTTTTCAGTATTTATTGTGTCCACCCTTCAGTCCAGTAATGGGTTGCATCTTCTGCTTTTCACAATCCAAGTAATCTAAACCCCTTTAATGATGTTTCAAGTATGGACTCAGGGGTGGTCAGTACATTGTTCTGAGAACACCAGCAGCTTCTTTGTTTGATTTGCATACGTTCCTTTTTTTGTCCATTTCCTTTTCTCAAGGGCTTCTTGACAGCTACACATTCTTTCAGACCCATAGCGCTGAGTTGTCTTCTCACAGTGGAAGGATGGACAGAAACACCTGTGGATTTTTTCAGATCTGAATCAAGAGTGGAGCTTGATTTTCTCCTCTCTCTCAAACATGAAGGTTTTAAGCTGTTTATCTGATGGGGACAGTGTGGGTGGTCTACCAGGTCTTGTGTGGTTGTTAGAAGTCCTATTTTCTCTTTCTTTTAATCACATTTTGTAACTCAGCTTTGGAAACACCTGTATTTTTCATTTTTCTTTCCACTTGGACTTTCTCCTTTGTTATGCAAGGGGATTATCTTATATCTTACATCTAATCTACTCAGAAATATCTCTATCGGAAAAATGAATAATTTCAGCCACTTTGACTGGAAATTAAGTAAAAAAGGGCTGATCTCTGACCTTTTAACAGTACTGTATGGACCCAGAACATACCATAAGGCTTCAGTTATATCCATGATTTATGGATACAGTGCTGTGTGAAAGTCTTGAGCTGTCATGAAGATTGTTTAAAACTATTTATCTTGGCTATACGTAACAATAGAGCAAATACAAATAAACATTAATACGGTAAAAAGTAACGCAAATCTATTATTTTCAGTAAAGCTCTTAATATGTTGGTTAAAAGAATACAGTTATGGTTTGGTTTCTCTTCTAGTCCAGTCATTATGTGGATTTGATAAATTCCATCAGCAGCACATCTGATTTGATTTGATTTAATGAAGGATTGATTAGAAAAACTGGGTATTGGATGGCAGCTGTAGATACTGGACTTCCTTTAGGAGAACTTTAGGAATGGTTAAGCTAACACACTCATCAATCTATCTATCTATCTATCTATCTATCTATCTATCTATCTATCTATCTATCTATCTATCTATCTACCTACCTACCTACCTACCTACCTACCTACCTACCTATCTACCTATCTATTTGTATTCAAATGTTAGTTCTTTTCTAAGCAAACAAATGCTCGCTGCCCAGATAAATAGCTTTGCATACCATTTCTCAGAGGCCTAAGACATTTGCACAGTACTGTAACTGGTGCACTGGTGCACTGAGTACAAGTCCACTCTCAAAAATAAGCATTGTTGCCCAAATGTTATTCCATGTTTGAAGATTATGCCATATATATGGAGGATTGTTATGGTGACATTCCCTCTTCCCAGAGTTTGAGGTGGACGATGTTGTGGAGAACTGCAGGCAAAGTGTTTTACTTCTTATTTTGGGTCCCTCCTGTTATTCTAACTAGTTGAGCATGCTCTTGCATTACAGTCCTTGGTTTAAAACAATATTAACTTAGATGTATCAGAAGTGCATCTAAGTGAAAGAATTGCATTAGGCTGAATCAGGGGTGATTAAAGCTGCTAAACTACATATTTGGAGATGTATATGCATTAAAACGGTGTGCTCAGACACCTCATAGGTAACCTGTGAAGCGCAGTGTATGTAAAGAAAGAAAACACCTTCAACATGAATTACCACTATGTATTATAAAACGAAGGAACCAGTTTAATTCAACCTAAATATTAAAGTAAATATTGCCTATGTACTCTGGCCTGAGCTTGGAAGATGCAAAAAACAATAAAAAGATATGGATTTTGATGAGTTGTTGACGCAGGAAGCAAGATATAGTCACATCTCATCTTACTCTTATTTATTTTGTTCTCTTTTGTTTGCACAGTAAAGCACCAAAAATGGAAGTCTGTTCATTTCTGGACAACCGATCAGTCTGTGAAACAAAGAGGCTATCTGGAGCAGAACTGAAATCGCAGGTCTGTGAATACAGTATTGCTTGAAAATGTGTATATTTGACATTGGAGAAATTATTGTGTGTAAATAATGTATCTCAAATAAATTATTAAATCCAGTCTGTTTGGTGTCATGTATGTGCTGGATGTTTATAATGAAGTCTATTGAAAAGCATAACTGAATTATAAAAAGTGAGTTCTGGCTGCTGCACTGGATCACAGGGAAAACGTTTTATGTATGTGTACGTGCTCAGTAATACTGATTAAATGCTGGTATTGCTGGTGATGCTTATTTCAGATAGATACAGTAAAACTGCTACTTTCAGTATCCACGTTTCATTAAAATGACCTTTATTCTCTGTGAAAAGCCTCACTGGACAGTCCAAACTCTCATTTCTACCAGGGGTGTAGAACACAACATGGGCCTTTTCAGCCCTCTGTCATTTATCTTGGCCTTTGAACCATTAGCACAAGCAATTTGGCACTCCCTGATGTAGAACCGATAATAATTAAGAACTCAAAAGCCTTGACCACCCCATGACATCCTCCTCTTTATCTATGACTCTCTAATTTTATTTTAAAGTACTAAGATTATTCTTTAAATCTGGCTACAAAGTTGGAATAGATCTATCTTGCATAAATAACCATGCGACATTCCAGGCTAGGAAATGTTTCATATAAATAGGAATGACTATAATAGGCTCTTATAGGCTCTTATAGTGACTGAACTGTGGGAAAGGTTAGCTCTGTGCTCTGATAATGTTAAATATCATCATCTCATACATCATATCAGCTGCTATTCAGAAGTGTGGAATCAGTTCTCATTCAAATGATGTTTGTGACTTTACATACAATAATGATTTACACAATATAGATTAGATAGACAAAGTTATTGATTTAAAAAGATTTTATTTAATAGTCTAGGTATTTTGAGACCAACAAGAAGTCATTAAATGGTAAATGACATGCTTTAATTACCCATATACAATATTGTTTGTCGTGTTATTTGCCTCAATATTTGATCACCACTTTTAATATACAAGAAATTCAAGATACTAGTTTTATTAGAACAATTTTTGAGGCCATTCAGCTTTCTTTGTCAAGAATAATCTACATCCTGGACACATCTTAAGATTCTTATTTATTTATTTTTACAGCTTCTTAGCTTCCTATCAATTATTTGAAACCTGGGAAGTTTCACAGAACTATTATACATTTAAGCATTTTATACATTTATTATCCGCATCCAAATTCATTTTACATTATTGAAAACCAAACTTTTTTTTTTTTTAAACCAAACTCATCATACCATTCAGGAAACACTGATTACTTGGAGCAGATGTGGTAAAAAATAGATCCAGAAAGAGAGTTGGACACCATGGCTCTGAAGCCTCTCGTTCATTAAGCAACTACAGCCAATTCTGGTACAAATGCAGAAGATTTTTTTCTATGTCTGTTATTCTTAAAAACTCTGCCTATATTTGGTTTTAACAGATACAATTATAGTATATAATGATACTAATGGATGTTTACTGTTCTTTACTCTTAGATCTAGGAGTATTCTGGTCATGTCACCAATTTTAAAGGGCAATTCCACTGACTTATTTGTTTTTAATTTCTGCATAATTAAATTGTTAGGATGTAAACAAAGTCATTCAGAGTATTTTGATGTGAATTGCTTAGTTCTAGAGAAACTGACAAAGGCAGAATTGTTCATATTGGTGGTGATAGGAACTAGATGCCCTAAGGGTCTAATGCCTTTGAAAGCCACTTCACAGAAATAATTACACAAAATGGTTATGAATATGCTGCCTGATGCCCAAGATAGTTTTACAATACAAGTACATTTATGGTGGAGAGCTACATGCAAAGTGTTGTAAAGCAAAATAGTCCACAAAGAAAACATGTTTTACCGCTGTTTTACCATTATTAACATTAGATGTAAATACTCACGAAGTTTCACTGGTCATTTTAATGACTGTGTAATGATAAATAAATAATGGCTGTATTTGTGTTGTAGATATTGTAACCCCTGGTTCCAAATATGTTTTTCTGCAATCAACCATTTGACACTAATTTAACCACTCTAAATGACTTTCTCTCAACAGTTGAATTTTGCAGAAATAAAATTACCCCTTAATATATGTACCTCATGTTATGAAACTTAAATCAAACTTAAGGTGTTTAAGGGAGGTTCTTTTGAAAAAATGAGCTTTGTGCTTTTCTGGAGAATGGCTATGATTCTCAGGTTTCCTCTGCTGCCGCTAAAGCACAGTTATCTGGTTTTCCCTTTCAGCTTATAGAACAGCTACATGATAAGTATTTGTGAAATGAAAAAGATTTACAGTATTTTGCTATATCCAACATATATGATGAACTAGATTTAAATGAGAGACAATATCAGGTAAGTTAAAAAAAAATCTCATTCTCTACATCAGAGGTGCCCAATCCTGCTCCTGGAGATCTACCACCTTGGAGAGTTCAGATCCAGCACACTTGGCTCTAACATTCAGATTCACCTGAAGGCCTTCATTACCAGGATCAGGTGTGTTAGATATAGGTTGGAGCTAAACTCTGCAGGGTGGTAGATCTCCAGGACCAGGACTGAGCACCCCTGCTCTAAAATCCTTACTGAATCCCCCAATCTTTGAGAATGGATTCATAAATTGCCTACGTTTGGCTGGATATATGACTGTTCTAAAATTAACTTCATACTTAGAATTAGACCTAAGTAAATTCTTGAGTTTTACTACTACTACTACTACTAAAAGCAGAAAGCTCTGCAGAGGGTGGTGCAGACAGCCCAGCACATCACTGGGTTCCAGCTCCCAAACCTCCTGGATTTATACACCATCCACTGCCTGAGGAAGACCAAGAGGATTCTTAAAGACTCCACTCACCCAAGCCACTGTTTGTTCTCACAGCTGCTGAGTGGGAGGAGATAGAGAAGCATAAAGTCCAGAACCAACTGGTTCCGAGACAGTGTCTTCCCCGGGCCATCAGGCTGCTGAACAGCCAGTAGTGCTGGCGTATCGGTTAATAAGCCTGTCATTACACTCCTGAAGTATCATCATGATGATCTCCATAGACAATCCACACCACATCCACACCTCAAACAGACTCAGCAGATCAGACAATCAGATCAGATAATCTTAGAATTCACTGGTTTATTCAATAATGGTACTAACTGCCTTGGACATCATTGGCATGGATATTATTATTGCAGTACATTACCATAACTTTTCACTGTGGTAAGGTTCTATCAGCTTCTGCACCTCTTTTAGAGGAGTTATGAGGCTGTAGGCAGGATTAATGAAAGAAACTACAATTCCCATGAACACCCTGCGCACGTTGCTCTAGACTACCGCTGGCTTCCAGGGTGAATGTGTGCAGGCAGAGCCGGAGACACAGCGTTACCGTCATGTTGACACTGACACTAAGACAGTTTATCAGGGTGAGTATTAAAGCAGGTTTTTGTCATCACGGCATTAATGCATCGTATAGACATAACTTATCTGTTAGTCATTGTGAAGCATTGTTAAGTTAGCTTGTTAGCTGCTTTTGCACCGTTAACGTTAGTCCGGTGGCGACAAGCAAGCTGTATGTTAGCTGGCTGGCTAACGCTAGCAAGGTTTTTTTATGAGAAACATCAATTTCTCTTTGTCCTACTGTAGTTAACAGTGTTCATGAGGTTTTAATGCTGAAAACTACTGAAGTTACAAGAGAAGGCAAACTGGAGTAGCATGTTGCTGTGGACGTGGCAGCTAGTTTAGCTGGCTAGCAGCTTTCTGAATGGTTAGCATATTAGGCTACCGTTGCCTTGATAATTTGTGGAAATACAATGAATACTATAAATATAACTAATATTATTTACGCTGCTACAGCGCTGGCTTTCTTCGTGGATAAAAATATTTTATTGTCACAAGAATTTTTGTTATCACAAGAAGTAGATACTTAACTAGCTAGGTTAGTTAAGTTAGTACAAGTGAGCAGACGCTGAACTTTCATATCATTAAAATCACGCAACATTTGTAGTTAGTTTATGTCTTTTCAGCTGGACCTTATCCAGCCGTGCAGGAGTTATAAAGCAGCCCAGTAGTTCTGTGAATCGCTTTTAGAAAGCGTAGCACTGAGGTAAGTCGACTCTCCTGTGCTGCATGCGTGGTGAAACGATGATGCAACCGTGCAGTTCGTCTTTCATCAGAACTTCGGGAGCTTCTTTTCCAGTGGACACCCTGCAGGCTTCACACACTTTCTCCTTAACTCACCCGGCCACAGTCCACCCGAGTGAAAGTGGATGGTATAATGTGAGGAGCTGTGTTGAACCAGAAGCTTGAGTGCAGTGCAAGAATGTGAAATATTTAGAATGAGAATCAGACTTTATTGGCAGGTTTGCACATACAAGGAATTTCTCTTCAGTTACACAGCGGCTGACAACAGAAATGGGAATTTCTCACTTGTGCTGCAACTTGTACAGCTACTGTGTAACTGAAGACATTATATATGATCCCAAACAAGGTTGAACGATAACGTACATCTCGACAAATGGTTATTGTTTGCAGAATTATTGTAACAAGCAATATTGGTGTGATCCACATTCAATGAAAATATACCACATATGAGCCCTGTAGAGCCTTACCATATAGTTAGCATTTTCCGTGGTAGTGAAATATTTACCATATAATCACCAGCTATACTAGCTTCTAATATCACCTCAAAATGTGTAATATTCTGCACAGACCGCGTGTAGCACTGCCCAGTGGTTCTCTGCACTTGTTTGGTTGGAAACCAAAATGGTGCCAAACTGGTTCGTTGGCCCCCTACTTTTGGGTAAGCTTTACTCTCTACAAGAGAATAGATTGCTCCCCATTTCAGTACCGGTTTTAACCACCTCTCGTCCATTTGGACCCATCATTTCCCCTCAGGGGAATCTCAGGCGTCAAGGGCTGTTTTATTACTTTATTAGCTCAAGTGAAGTGAAGGGGCGAGGGATTGAGTGAACACCAGTGTCGACTTCAGCAGCAGAACTCTCCCAGAAATCGTTGCGACTTGATGCATTTCCCTTTCCAAACCCCAAAATATGGCTGTTTATGAGCCTTAGCAATAAACTGCTGAAAATACTTAACATTTCAAAACCATAACATTTGATTCACTGGCTGTAAGTTACAAACTACTCTATCTGTTAAACATGAATACTGATACAACTTTATCACTTTCCATTGCTAGCTGGCTGGATAGCGTGCTAAAGGCTACATGGCTAACAAGAGCAAAAAGAAAGGCATTTCACAGTGGCTGTAATATAAGTTTATAGCCAGACAAAGCAATTATTCACATAGTATGTACATTATGCTCAAACGTCTTAAAAAACGTTTTGCATGGCTAGCCAATTAGCTCACTGACCTGCTGAGGACGATTGCATTGCGTTTAAATAATCCACTTCTCACTGTCTCCACTTCTGCTGCAAGTGGTCGCTTACATAACATAGGAGAGATGCACATCCGAGTGGTGAGTCAAAGTGGGTGAGAGCAAGTTAAAAAAAACCCATTGAAACAGGACCCTCATCTGTCTGAGTTTTAGTTTCATTTGCATGTTCCCCGACATTCTTTGACAGACCTTAAATCTACGTAATAATCTTTCCAAGTGGCATTCAGTATTTGTGTGTTGCTAATTAGTAAAGGTTCTGTTTGTACAGCCTATAATTAAGTGCTGTCTCTGTGAACTAACCATAAATTAGAATGATTGCACAAGGGAAGTGGTTAAAGTAGGCTGTAGTGATTAGAAAGAAATCATGTGGCATGTGAAGAAGAATGAAAATAATATCTTTATTAACCAGTGGCAGCTCAACGTGCTTACAGACAGGTGATAATGTTTTACAGTACATAGAATTTGAATTGAATGCTAAGTTAAAGAGATACGTTTTCAAATGTTTCTTAAATGTGTGAACTGAGAGTGACTGTCTAATAAAAGGTGGAATTGAGTTCTACAGTTCAGAAGCCTAATAACTGAAAGATGCCTCTGCATGTTTTCTGTATTTTACAGAGGGTATTTGCAGAAGGTCAGTATCTGCAGGTCTAAGATCACGTGCTGGAACATAAACAGATAGACACTCTGTGATGTAAGCGATGCTTTAAGGTCATTTAGAGCCTTAAAAACTAGGAGCAGAACTTGAAAATCTGTCCTGAATGATACAGGCAGCCAGTGCAGTTCTTTTAAAACGGGAGTGATCTGATCTCTCTTTTTTTGTTTTTGTTAGGATTCGTGCTGCCGCATTTTGTACGAATTGTAGAGGATTTATTGTTTCCTTAGGAAGTCCAGTAAGAAGAGCATTACAGTAATCAACGCTGCTTGTAACAAATGCATTAACAAGTTTCTCTGCGTCACTCTGAGATAGAAAAGGCTGAACTTTATGAAGACTTTTCAGATGATAACGCAGTCATGAAATGTGGGTTAAAACAGAGTTCAGAATCTAAGATTACACCCAGGTTTCATACTTCAGGTTTGGTATATGAAGCTAAAGAGCTGAGCTTCTCATAAAGCATTTTTCTGAGTTTTAGTACCAAGTATCAATATTTCAGTTTTTTGTTATTAAGTTGTTTTTGTGACATCCGCTGAGAAATATCTGACACAGCTGGTAAGCCTGTCTACAGAGTCCTGAACATCAGAAGGAGTCAAAATTCACAATGGTATGTCATCTGCATAGCTATAAAATGTATGTTTCCTAATGACATCACCTAGAGGTAACATGTACAAAGAGAAGAGCAAGGGCCCTAAAACTGAACCCTGTGGGACTGCACAAAAATGTTAAATCTCTTTGATGGGGGTCAGTAGTCTGCTTTATTTCAATGCTTATTTAAATTATTACATCTTTCAAAAATATCAGTTATCAGCCCAAGGTTAAGATGCACATGCCAACGTCCATTCTTATGCTTTAATGCCTTAAGGCGACCTGTATGCCTAATTGTAGGAAATTTCAAAACAACCTAAAAGCACATTTTCTTCTCATTTTCCAAAATGTCAGCAGCTGATAGATCGAAGTGCAAAGCAAAATACAGTATCAGCAAAGGTTTACCAACCCATAGGCGGCTGCATTGTATAGTTAATACGTTAATGTGTAATGCCATGCGTTAATGCACAATAAAACAAACCACGAAGCTAAATTTTAAAGACATATATTATAAAGCATATTTAGTGAAGATATTTAAGATGCAGATTTATTTCTTTAAGCTAATTTCTGCACAGAATGCACAGATAGACCACTGCTGTCGTCTGGTAATTAGTAAATCTGAAGAGGATTCTTGATCATATGAGGCAGATGTAGAAAGTGTGCTACATGATGTGCTTGCTGGCTTTCACTTTCAGGTCACTCGTGGGTTTAATAGAAGGTTCACATGTTTGCATGCTTTTTCAATTGTGTAAATAAGTTCCTTGTGCCCCTAATGTTATATGAAAACATGCCTTTTTTGTGCTTTTTTTAGACAGCTCTTATTGCTCTCTCTGAAGCCAGTTCTATTCATTTAAGCACTTTTAGGGAAATTAGGGCATTAGCCAGCGTGCTGGTTAAGTCCTGAGGTGAAAAACGACTGGCTTCAGTCGCCACTGTTTTTTGGCCCAATGTAAGAATCAGTGCACAAAGTGCTGTGAATATCATCTGGATTCTTCCAGCTGAATCCGGCCTCAACTGGAAAGCCACACACAAACACTAGGTTAGATATCTACGGATTTGCTAAATCAGCAGACCTTAACCAAAGCTCCTGTTTGTCTTCCCCAGTATTCATTTAGTGACATTAGAGGAAGTCTTGCTGAAATGAGGTTAGGTATCTGAATTTAGGGTGGCTGTAGCTGTGCAGTGGATTACTTTTGCCAAATTAAAGCTGTGTTCCTCAGCCAGGATGAACAGATCTAGAGCCAACTCGACTCCAGTTGAACGGCTGAGAGCACCCAGACTACTACAAAGCTGCTTTTATTCAGCTCCCTGAGACAGGCTGTGTAACGCTGAAACAGATTCTTTCAGGATGTGCAGCCGATGATGTTTTCTATGCTTCCCTGTGCCCTCTTCACCTGTCGGCACATAGCCTCTAATCTCCTTTCTTTCATAAGCAGCATTGTTAACCAGATGATTCAATAATTAACTTCTTGTTGTTGTGTTTGCATAATATGACTTTTAAAAGAGGTAAAGTTCACCTCCGTCCTTGACCAATGAAATTAGTACTTTGTATGCGCACCCCCATCTCTTAGCCCCATATGCCTGTGTGGTTTTAGAAGAGACAGAGACCTGAATGTCCCCAAAGTGGTTATAGTTTAAAATAAAGAAATGTTGGGCAATTTTTTAACAGTTTTGCCCCTTACCCCAAACATAGTCAGTCAGTCAAGATGTTTCAGGAAGTTTTTACACTGGACTTAAGAGGCTAATGTAACAACTAATGGAAGCACTCACCCTGTCAATTAGGATCATGT